TAGGTAATCGAGTGTGCTGAATCCGAATATCACATTGGTTTGGGCCCAATTTTAGTTTAGAGACCCGGTTTTCCAAGGGAGGTACCCCAGCTGTTAAAAAGCTTTTGACTCCATATTTTGGCTATAAGTAGATTTCAGTGAGACTAAGAAAACTCTAAAAGGATTCGTACCCATGGTCTTTCGATCAAGAGTTATGACTGATTTACTGATATTTCGGCCTATTTCATGGGTGTTCATCGGAAACGCAAATTTTACAAGATTTCGATCTGAAATTTTGCCCATGGATAGGTCTGATGATCGTTAGAATACCCTGAAAATTTCAGCCAAAACGAATGCTTCTTTCTTGAGATATTGGCTTTCCAAAAACTAGAATATGGAGTCAAAAGCTTTTAAACAGTTGGGATACTTCCCTTGGAAAACCGGGTCTCTAAACTAAAATTGGGCCCAAACCAATGTGATATTTGGATTCAGCACACTCGATTACCTATTGTCCACTAAGCTTCAGGCCAAATGCGTTTAAACAGTTGGGGTACTTCCCTCGTAAGTTCACATGTTCGAATCTCTATTCGTACAAAAATTGATTTTGTGTTTTTCGATAGTTTTAGTTCAGAATACTATAATAGAATATTCTTCCGCTTTTATTCTGACAGAATAAAGCTTATATCAAAAGAAAAAATAATGAATGTACGTCTGCATACGAATGAGAAAAAGGTGCGAAAAATAATATCTGTTCTTTGTAATTATCTTGTACAAAGAACAGACGAATACTAAAAAGGACTAAACAGGACTTTTATCAGATTCGGAAAATATGTTAGATGACACAATCTAACACTCTTTCCCCTCTCATTCTGAGTTGAGACGCGTTTCAACGAAAAGAAAAAGTACTACTAATAATAACATTTTTATTTAAAAGACTCACAACTAATTATTTTGGTGGTAACAATGTTCTTTATTAATTTTTAAATATAGAATGTGGAAGGAAAACTTAAAGATAAGAAAAAAGTATGGTGCCTGAGGGAAGGTTCAAACTGCCGGCGTCTGCATTACTTAACCGATACTGAGACAGGACTCTAACTAACTGAGTTACACAAGCCCGTCAAACGTCTGGATGTTTTATTATATAGTGTGTAACGTAAGTCTATTGAATATCAGCCATTCTTTTGAACGTTCATGCGAGATCAAATAGAATGGCAGGTTACGCTACATGTCAACTCTAAACAATTTATTATGGGCTTTCAGATGGAGATGTCCTTTTAGAGATATTTTGGGTGTTTGATACATGTGAAACGCGAAAGAATCAAATCAAAGCAAAAATGTAAACGAAAAGTCGTTAGTGTCACCATTCAGTGTTTCCACTAGAGTACTGCATGGGCACAACTTTTCGTACGTGTATCCTACGTGTACAAAAACGCGTTCAAAAGAATGGCGGATATTCAATAGACTTACGTTACACACTATATAATAAAACATTCAGACGTTTGACGGGCTTGTGTAACTCAGTTAGTTAGAGTCCTGTCTCAGTATCGGTTAAGTAATGCAGACGCCGGCAGTTTGAACCTTCCCTCAGGCACCATACTTTTTTCTTATCTTTTAGTTTTCCTTCCACGTTCTATATTTAATTTCGAGTTGGCAACTCTGGTATACACAGATTGATATAATGTAATCCATTTGACGGACTCTGATATTACGCTAATGAAAAGGTAAACAGTTGGAACGATTGAAGTTGCGCAATCGACTCGATGTTATCAGTAGTATTTTTTTTTGGTATATTTTTGTGTTTTGTTTGATATAAGCTTTATTCTGTCAGAATAGAAGCGAGTCTTTCTATTAGATTCAGGATTTTTCTCTTTTGTTAGTATACGCGATGTTTGCGTATTCATTGTACTCGTTAAAAGAAAAAACCGAAAAAAACAATATTTTATGAAAAAAATAATAAACAACTTGTAAGTTTTATCGTAATATATGAGATGAAAACGCAAAAATTTGTCGGCTGCCAGAAAGTAATTGTATGTTGGACAATTACAAGTTTAGATTGTGTCAGCATATGTATAACGTTTCCTTTCTCAGTTCTGTTTACAGAAACAATGGCATGGATTTTTTCCTTCTTTTATTCATTATATAAAGTGTAATAATAGACCTTATTCAGCTGAGAGTGTAATTGCAGGAGCACAAAGAGTACAACAGCCGTTGCGTAACATTCACACATCTACGCATAACGTCGTTCATAATTCAACGATTTTAAGAATTTCTATAAAATCTATAGGAAAGTGCAAAAAAAATGACTGGCACCGTGGCCAACTCAGGAGAACGTAGCTGGCATGAGATGCATTGCCAAGGGAAATGTTGGTGAAATTGATCTCTTGATCAAGGTTTCGATATTCTATAGTCATACTTTGTTATCTCTAACATTATATATACAGATTAATATAGATGGAATATCAGCGCTTTGTACTTGCTGATTCTTAAAAACTGAAATTAATTGTGTGGCCACAAAAGAGCTTAGAAACGTTTTTCGTGAAAGGTTTAATTGTCGTATTTTTCAATTTCATGTCGTTTAAATTGGTGAATACGCTCTTATAGAGCTTCGAATATACTCGCATTTGGATTTTTTATGAAAACATTTTTTTGACTTAGAGATAAATACTTCTACTTCACAGTAAATTATTAATTTATTCTCAAACGTTTCTATTGTCTAGTTCAGTCTTTATCAGCGGATACATAACAATTAATTAAATTAAAGTAAAAATTCACAAATTGAACAAGATTTCTGTTTAATTAATTTAAACAAAGGGTTATAAAGAGAAACATTGGAGCTGGTGAAGAAAATTCGAAACAGTGTATACAATAGCTAATAATGGATATAATAGATGTAAGTCCTCAATGAAAATCAACTTTTAAGCGGTGGATAAAACCATGAAATGGAAGAGAATTCTATATAAATAATAATCAAATTAATACACAAGAAAGTCATAATGAAAAAGTACATAAGACATTAGAAATGCGAAGAGAAAATTCGAGATGCGGTTTAAGAAAACAATCGAGAATAGATTATAAGTATAAAAAGGGGAAATCTTTTCAATAAAGATTCAAAGTTCTAATGTTGATTTTTCAGAGATTTCACCACACCGTTTTTTATGAACTCTACCTAATTTCAAGATTGGTGGTCTTTACGGTTAAGTTCAGCGGAATAGTCTTCTCAAAACTTAGAAATTACACTCAAATAGAATTCATTTCTGAAAGAATCAAAGAGAAGATATGACGACCGGTTTTGACCTTTCTCAAGGCTCTCATCAGGTGGTTTCCTTCGAGAAAGACAGAATTTAGAATCCATTCTTGTGCTTCTAGAAGGCTCTCGAAAAACCTGTTTTTACTTTTCTTTTACAGATACTATAAAAGAACCAAAACAAAAGGAAAAATCAACCTGAATGGTGGATGAGAATTGTCTTTCTACGCCGCATTTGATGGTGCATAAATCTACCTTTTCTGCTACTTTGGTTTCGTTTTCCTCGACAAAATTGAATTCCTATCAGCTCCCGTATTTTTTTCCATTCTCTAGATCACTAGGACTATCAAAGCACATACGAATTAGTTTTAGTCAATGAGTCTAAAAAGATGCGATTTCCCGTGAGATTTATGCTGGGATTTCGCCACTTTGGAAGCTCTCTGACCAAAACTAACCCTTGTGTGTTTTGACAGTTCTGTTGATCTAGAGAGCAGAAAAAAATACGGGAGTTGCTGGGAATTGGATTTTGTCGAGAGAAACGATGTCAAAGTCGCAAAAAGGGCTAAAATTCTGTCCTGTATTCTGATCACTGTATTTCCATTTAAACAGCATTTCGGGAGATTTGTGCACTATCAAATACGGTGTAATCGAGGTTTCTACAACCATATCACGAGAAAGCTCGATCTCTTGCTACATAATCCATGCGAAAATTAAGGTTCCAATTAAACGCAAAAATATCTCAAATGTCGCTGTTCCGTTACCTATCATGTCTTGTTACGACAGCGACCATTTCTCGTTATTCCCTTCATGCCATACACTTTCGCTAGCAACAGCAGCAAGTCCATTCTCATTCTAATCAACTCATTTCTACCGTACAGCACAAACATGAAAGCAGAACGCGACAATGTTTTCCTTTCACCTGAATGATGACAATATTTCTCCCAGTTACATACTGTCTACATGCTTCACCTTTACATGGCTATTGCTGCATTCATATCTTCAAAATTTTGTTTCTTAGAGTAGTTAATAGTGCGCTTCCACGGATTCATGTGAATGTTATTACTAAATACACTTAGTTGTACTGCACAAATACGAAGAAAAAGAATCGGATACTACGACTCATGGCAGGCAAGCACCCAAAACAATTCTCTCACTCTACCCTCAACAATACAATACATGCCCCAATATCACGACGCTTATCAGATGAACGAAATCTAGAAGTAACACCGTTGTCTGGCTGATACAAATGTGGACAAGACAAATGATAACATCAAAACACAAGCTCAAATACGACGATTCATCAACTATCTAAGAACATTCGACGATCTCAATCAATGTGCTGACTATATCACTTCTCGTACTGCAACCAAACTCTTTCTCATCGTCTCTGGTGCTCTCGGTCAACACATCGTCCCTCCCATCCATCAAATGACACAAATCAACTCCATCTACGTCTTCTGTTCAAACAAGAGCTATCATCAACAATGGGCAAACAACTATGACAAAGTGAAGGGTGTCCACACCGACATCAACTCCATCTGTGTGCAACTAGCCAGAGACGTGGCTGCATCACACAACGATGATCTTTCGATGAGTGTCATCTCCAACAATAAGTCATCATTCAACAAACAAGAAGCCTCATTCATGTACTTTCAGCTCCTCATCGACATTCTCCTTCGCATGGATGACACACATGGCAAACAAGAGATGGTGGATGCATGTCGACAACAATATGCTGGCAATGAGAGTGAACTACAGATCATCACTAAGTTCGATGATGAGTACTCGGCTGAGACAGCCATTTGGTGGTACACACGTGAGTGTTTCCTCTATCGCATGCTCAACCAGGCACTGAGAGTGTCCGACATTGACATTCTCTTCAAGCTTCGCTTTTTCATCAAGCATCTTCACTCCCAGCTCGCTCATCTTCACTCGAACAGCGTCAGAGATGACATGCTCATCGTCTATCGTGGTCAGCGGATGGTGACAGACGAGTTCGACAAACTTCGCCAGAATGTGGGTGGATTCCTATCAATGAACAGTTTCCTGTCGACATCATGCAGTCGAGACGTGGCATTGAGATTCGCTCATCAAGCACTCAATCATTCACATGTGGAAGCAGTTCTGTTCGAGATGACGATCGACATCACACGATGTGCCCGACCATTTCATAACATCGAGAAGATGAGTTACTTCAAGACAGAAGCAGAGATTCTGTTCTCGATGGGCACAGTGTTTCGGATATCATCAGTTGACAAGCTCGGTGGTGGCATATGGAGCGTAAAGCTGATTCTGAATGGCGACGAAGATGTCGAACTGAGACGACTCACAGATCACATGAAGAAGGAAATTGACACTGGACGGAATTTGTTCACATTGGGCAAGTTATTGCTGAAGATGGGAGAATATGAGAAAGCAGAAGAGTTTTATCTGATGATGCTTGAGACTAGTAGTGAGAATGATCGTGATGTTGCAGCTATTTATAGCAATCTTGGAAATAGTTATTGGGAAAGAGGCAACAATGAGCAGGCATTAGTTTATTATAACAAGTGTCTGGAGATGAAACTGAAATCCTTGCCTGCAAATTCACCATCACTAGCCACAACATACAGTAACATTGGCAATGCTTACAGTGCAAATGGTGATTTTGATCACGCACTGATGAACATGGAAAAGGCACTGAAAATACAAGAGAAATCTCTTTCGTCAGATGATCCATCTCTTGCGATAACGTACAACAATATTGGAGGAGTGTATAATGGAAAGATGGAGTATGACAAGGCTCTAGAATACTATCGAAAATGCTTGAATATTCGGAAAGGAGTTCTCCCTGCGAATCATCCATCGTTGGCAACTACATATAACAACATTGGTGGTGTGCATTATGAGAGAAATGAGTATGCACAAGCACTGAAATATTATCATATGACACTGGAGACACGTCTAAGTTCGTTACCACCAGCACATCCTTTACTGGCAGTGTCATACTGGTGGATTGGAAAAGTGTATGAGAATCAAAAAAACTACTCGAAAGCATTAGAAAATGTGACTGTAGCTTATGAAATTGCGAAAAGATCGAAGCAGCAATAAACTCAAACTATTAAAGAAATGATTGAGAGACTGAATGACAAACTAGCAATCTCGAAGAGTTAGTGAGAATATTTTCTTTCTCTTTGTTTCGAATATAACCAAAAATTTATCTTATGCGTGGAAATGATTGCGATGCAGTGATTTGATGGAAATCAGTCCGAATGATTCTCACTTTGTTTTTGCCCTCGGAGTCAATAAATCACAAAGTCAAACGGTTTGGAAACTGATGTATTTTATCATTTGTCGAACTCAACTAGCACTGGTCTTAGTAAGTCTCACTCCGTCTCGTGTGCGTTTTGTCCAGTTAGAGACTCAAATATGTTGGACTATGAGTTATGGAATAATCATTTGTTGTTTCATCATACATCGTTAAGTCTCCTCTGCTAACATAGTCACGTTTGAGATTTAGCTAGCTGTTATAGCTGGTTAATGACGGATTTAAATTAGTTGTTTACAAAGAAGAATTTGATGTACTATTGTCTGTTAAAAGAATAAGACACGTGACTATCTGTTGAATAGCTCGAAAACGAAATGTGACAGAGAGCCTACGTTTTCACCATTCAAAGAAGAGACTTTGGAAGATATTTTCATAACAGATATTAATTCGAAAATAGTTTTTTAATGTAGGTTTTTGTGGAGATCCTTGGAAAATCAACTCGTTGCTCAAAAACTTCAGGTACAAACACTCTCATTTTTCTCCATGAACAGATACCCAAAGTGTCCTCTTCAAAATACGAGTCAAGCGAGACCTTAATTTCTAGTGGCTCGGGCGTGGTATCCAATTTCCTTGTAGCCTAAGGTTTGGTATGCAGTGACTACACGTAGTCATTAAAAGGGCCTGCGGAGGTTCGAAAAGGTTTCCTGGGTATCGAATCTATCCAGTGAAGGTTACACATTCGGTAGTGGAAAGCTTAAAATGTAGTCTGAAGTTTCATCATTCAAATATCGCTTGAACATTGGCCCTTTAAACTACTTTAAACACTCGTGGGTGTACGACAGATAATCACGTAATCAGAGAATCCAAGAAACAGATAATCACGAAAATGAATACAGATTTGATTGAGATTTGTCACGACCTGTGAAAAACGAACCGTATCTATTGATTCGCATGTCTGTTAAAATTCATATTAGATCACTGTCTTACAGGGACCGTTTTCCGTCCTTTCGTTATGAATGAGTTAAAAGTAATGAATCGAATAACGGCTTAAATCGAAAGCTAATTTTATTGGTATAGATATATTTTTTTTGTAACTAAGAAAGATAATTCTTTTTCATGGTAAACGATAATCCGGAATTTTGAGAAGACAATTATCTCAATTGCAAGAACAAGTTTCAATGAAATCAAAATCTAGCTTTATAGAATGTTTAGCTCACATAGCTTTAAAACTTTCTGTGAAAAAACCTCCTCTAACTTTAGCACAACCTTAAATGGTGTCACGTTCCACAGTTCCATGGAAATTCGTAGAACGAGCAGAATTCGACATATTCGAATATATACTGTTACTAAGATTGTTCGGAAATTGGTTGAATTCTGGTAGAATTCCAATTCTGGTTCGACCAGATATCTGGGTAGAACCTAGTAGAATTGAACCAGAATCTGTCGATTTGTAGAGAAAAACTATGTACAGTTATAGTAGTTCACACTTAGATTCTCTCTACGACTTGGCACTGCACATTTAACAAAGAGAAGAAATCAGAGCAGAAGTGAATAGAAAAATTCTTTCTTTTCTTCTGTATAGGTAAAAGTATGTGAAAACGGTCTATCAGGGACCAGTTTTCTATGAAACCAACTGAAATACCTTAAAATATTATACAGTTTTATTCATAGAGCATATCTTGTGTACCATGCAGTAGTTATACAAAATGTAAAAAAAATCTTTTAAATATACAAACTTTTCCAACCAAATGCTTTTAAATTGTAAGTCAAAGTCCGAAATAATGATAAAGATCGAGATTTCGCTTCTTTTTTAGATTTTACTCGTTTTTGTCTATTTCTTGAATATTGCTATTTGTTTTTACAGAGGAACCGTTTTGTTACTTGTAAAACTAGCATTCTCATAGATAACTCGATGAGCTTTATTCAACCGTGTCAACTGAAAAAAAATTATGCTGAATTAGACAACTGAAGTTAGTATTTGAATATTGATTTTCTTGTCATTCTATACATCCAAATTTCTAAAATAACTGTTTCAGTCGTAAAATGTTTGCCGATTCCATTAGAAGATGGAAACCTTGCTTCACCGTTCCTGTCCTTTGATTAGTTTTTGAAACCTGATAAAGTAACTTGGAAAAGTTATTATTTATAGCATATTGTGAGCGCGTAAAATTTTTCAGGTTTTTTTCCAAAAAGATTCAGGATGCCAAAACACAGTTTTATTCGACACATTGAGCAGTTCTTTTGTAACAGTGTTCATGGCACTCTGTTATTCTCTTCTTAAGGATATAATATCCCTTTGCATTGAATATTTTTTACCACTAACTTATGAGTTGAACCTCTTAAAACTAGTCTATCTTGTTCAGCTTTTTCTGTTCGTTCGATTCATATGTAACTCGGATTTTTAGAATGGGAAATAGAACAGGAAAAAACTAAAATATCACAAAAGTCTGCTTTTTCGGTTTTCAGGTTTTTCCAAACATTCAGGTATTTCAAGTGAAATCTCCGCCCTGATAAATGTCCAGTAGTTGAATTTAGACAAGCCCTTTTCTATAATTTTCATTGCCGTATAAACAATAAAACAGTTAATAATTGCGGAAAACCTATCAACAGACATATGCTTTATCGATTTTTTCGATCTTATAATCACGTTTATCGAGAAACATTCATCATATCCTGAGGTTTCGAGCTCGTTCTGATGTTTTCTGGGTGCACAGAGAATTTTCTAATATTAAGTAAAGATAGCCTGAAAATCCCAAGTTTGATAAAACTCCGTTTTCACCCCGTCTTTGAATTCTTCCCCAAAACAAACATTCCCGTCGGATTCTGCGTGGACAAATACGTATGTTCCATCCGATTTCAAGACTATCTGAAGTAGAGCCCTGCGGAATCGGGATAGGAGGACAAATATTTATGGGATCGGGATCCGGATTTAAGCTGCTGAACGGGATCGGGATTTTCTTTTTCCAATTTATTGGAAGAGACACATGCTGTATAAATGGTTCTATTATATTTTTTTCTATCATATTTTTTTCTACTAGTGTAACTTAAAAAAGAACATTCTTCTATTGGTTAGAGAGGCCATATTGAGCTTTTTACATATCTTACTTTTGGTGGCCAGCTAGCTTTCAACGAATGCTGAAGTTATCTGCTATTGGTAGCTGTTATTAGCAGATAACTTCTTTCACCGATAAAGTAAACAATTAAACACACACAAGAAACTGTCGTCTTCACACGACAGTCAATCAGATTCTTTCTTTCAATCTGTCGCACACGAGCGACAGCTGTTTGTATTTTAGCAAAAAAACATTTCGGGATTTAACGGGATTGTAATTATGCCTACGGGACGGGATCGAGATAGAGATCGGCGAAAAGAATTTTTTGGGATCAGGATCAGGACCGGGTTTCAATCCTACGGGACGGGATCGGGACGAAAAAACTCAATCCCGCAGGGCTCTAATCTGAAGCCACTATATACAGGACGAGGCGTATGAGGACGTAAGACAACATCTGAAGATCAAACGATGAAACTTTTAACGGTGTTTGATTTATACAGTCATCTTTCATAAGTGTTAGATGAATACTAATCCATCAGAGTTCTCATGGATGCGCTGTATAATTGTCGTGCTAGAATAGTGATCAATCACAAATATTAAACAACAGAAAGAAATTGCCAAACTATTGATAAATGAAGTGAGTAATTTGATAAATTAATATTGAATAAATATTAGTATTAAACTGACTAGTAATATTTTCTGTTCTGGAAGCTTTGTTTAATAAAATTCATAGAAAAGAATTATTATTCATTTCATAATCGAATGGTCGTTGACATTTTCTGAATAACTTTTGAACGGAAAGGGATAAAGATCTATGTTTTTCACATTTTGTGCATTTTCTGATACGTTTATATGAGTGCAGGGTAAAATTCGAATTTTCGGATGATGCCTTTCACAAGGATACTGCTGATCGATTTGTTGTCTTTTTCGTTGTAATTCACAGCATAACAGAATAAATTTTCCTTTGTGCTGATAAAAGATGCTATATATCAAATTCGGTTTTTTGACCGAGGGTGTTCGACCTACACAGGTATGGCAGAGAGTTGATATAACGATCCAAAGGTCTGTAACATTTTCTTTGCATGTGCAAGGTGTTACTTAAAGTTACAAGAGCTTATTTCTCTTATTTTTAGAAAACAATAGGCTAAAAGCAATTCTGGTATGATGTCGTTTGGTATTTACTCTTGACGATATTTTAATGTGATTTGTATTGGAACCGTTGGTCTTAGAATAATTTCACTGGCTAAATGAAGATCTTCTACTTTCTGCTCGGTTGTTAAAGAAAATTTCCTTAATAATGTTGACAGAAATACCTTTTCTTCGATTAATGCAAAACGTTGACCTAAACAAACAGAAGCAAGTTTACCATTGTGGTTGAATGGATAGAAAAGAAAAGAAGTTTTTTCATTCATGCCTATGCAATTACGAGAACCAGCACTAAACGGAATAAAAGCATAAGGAGAACGTTGTGCTGTATTTTCTGGTCGAAAACGTTCTGGATCAAATTTATTCGGTTCTGGATAATATTTTGGATCGAGATGGATTGCTAATATCGAAATGACACATCTTGTTCCAGCTAAAATTTTGTGTCCATCTACAAAATACGAAGATTAACATTTTAACAAAATGAGACTAACAACATTACTGTATATAAAATCTTCTTGTGCTTCTCGTAGAATTCCAGGAACTGACGGTAGAAGTCGTAACGATTCCTATAGAGAGAAAATTAATGATTACTTTCTTATTCATAAAAGGCTTCGCTTTATACTGCCTATCTGTAACATGACTGGACTAGATCAAACACTTACGACTTTTAAGACAAATCTCTTACTTTAATCACACATTCTAAATAATCCATTTGTTTTAGATCATCCATTGTACATGCTCGTTCCACATCATCGGCTAAAAACAGTAAAGAAGATAATTTCTTCTGTTAGATTGTTTTTCTAAAACATACAAAATATTTGATCTATTTCATTGTATAATTTTTGTTGCACATCCGGATGTAATGCAATCAGGAACAATGCAAAAGAGAGTGCTGCTGCTGTGGTATCGTGTCCCTATGTCAAAATATCCATATTTAATTGCAGATAATTATAACGCATGTCACTGTTGACATAACATACTTCAAACATAAATGTATCTAAAAGAAAAATAATAAATTAATAATTTGTGACAGTGAATACATGACAGTCCAATCCATATATTACCAACTTCTTCTTGGATATCATCCATTGTGAGTCGTTCTTCATGCATTTTTGTCAAGAGAGTATCAAGAAATGCCATACGTTTAGTGTTCAACTGGTTTTTTTCAAATTCTGCTGTTCGAATATTAATGAACTAAGTAAACAAAGCATGACTTGTTCAGTTGAAATAAATTTATGCTTAACTTACTTTTCGCGTATAATCATGAAGAATTTTTAATGTATTATCATGATCTCGACCAAGTGAAGACATTTTAAATAGAAAATCGGGCCAAATCCAAGGAGTTGTCCATCGTCTAATTATAATATCAGAAATTCTAAACGGATACAGTTGATAACATAGTGAGAATATTAGAGGAGTCTCTCAAATACTTTGCAACAGCGTCAACATAAGTCGAGTTTTCTATTTGAGCCATACTACTTGTACCCATTGCAGCTTCTAAATTGTTACATAAGATGTTTAAAAAGAAATTGTGTTAGAGAGTGAATAATGACTCACCACAAATAATATCGAGTGTACATGCAGTAATATATGGATATAAGTTAGTAGGTTTATTTACAACTTTTTCAAAACGAGATATACATATTTTTGATTGTTCATTGAAAATGGGTAAAAAGCTATTTAGTAAATTTGTATCATGAAATGATGGTGTTAAAATACGTCGACGTGTGCGCCATTTTGCGCCATTGCTAGAAGAATAGATTGTTTATTTCCATCAAACACTATAGTCTATAAAATCAAAGATCTCTCTCCTAGAGATCAAATCTTATATAGGATTCTCATAGGAATCTTATAGAATATCTGTAAGAATCTTATGAATTTCTTAATAAGGCAGTCGATAAAAATGCGTAGAATATTGAATTGAATCTTATATAAGAAACTAATAAGATTCATATAAGAATCGTGATGAGTCATGTCAGAATTTTATATAAGATATTTCAAGTCAACTGCTTCATACACAAATAAAATAATTTTCTTCCTATTTATTTTGTTTTTTCAGAATAGAAACTTAGTCCCAAGTGGGCAGTCTAAAGACTTGCTCTCATTGTCTACTGCCTGTAGACCTGATTTACTTCTCCACATCTATCATGACTACAGGAAGATATATGAAGTTCGAAAAATAAAATTATGTGTGAGAAGAATATAGGACGCAACATCTTGCTTGTTGGCATAAATTCCGCTTTTTCAACCCGATCTCTAGCAAAATGCACCACTTACGATTCTTTTTTTCTCTATAAAGGTGACATTCAATTGAGTCTCTAAGTCGTAGAAGATAGAGCAGCTCGACAGCTACTAATATGCATCAAAATTCCGTTCATACTTGTCCTAATAAAGCAAGTTTAGAAGCAGTCACAAAAAAACTTTCTGTACAGTTACGTGCATGACTCATCATCCAATAGTCAGTGGTCAAAGAAACCAGTTCCTTGATTGATCGAAACAGAGAATGTAATGTTGAAAAACACATTTAATGAGCTGATACTTGTAAAATACAAGAGAAAATCCTAGGTATCCTAGAAGTTCACAGCATTTGACAGGTTTCCTAGTGTAAGCTAATGTAGGATTCAGATGATAGAATCCCATAAGAAGTACCACACTATCCTAATAGAATTTCATAGGATTCTAAAACGATTCCTGTGGTTCGTAGGATCTCATACGATACAGGGTTACTCATTCAGTTGGCATACAGTCAGACGCTTTAATCAACATAAATAAAAGTTCGTATATTAACTTATCTTATGAATTCTTCTAAGCTAATTATATATTCTGTCTTGCCGAATTCTTATCAAAATCTTATAAGATTCTTATATTCCTTCGTATAGGAATCTTATCCATACCATACACATTTCCATCGACTGTCTTATATAAGATTCCTATAAGATCCTTATAGAATTGCCGTAAGTTCAATCGTCTAGGGTCTCGTTAGCGTATGCAATTGATATCGTTCAAAATTCAAAGAATCTTTGCAAACCTCGTTAATAGACCAGTTTTTAACCATGGTTCTAACATTTTGTAATCCAATGGTTTTATTAATTCTTTTGTATTGCCGTAGAATATCTGCAAGTAAAAATATATATTAACTGAATGAGATGAATACATTTTTTCGAGTGATTTACTTCTAACCCATCCGCATTCACAAAAACCATGATCGGCCATATACAAAGCCATATGCAAAATACCGATTGATCACGAAACTTTTTTGCACTTTCTAAGACTAGATTAAGAGGAGCTAAAAGAGAACGTATTATGTCCAAAAATGCCGATATATAAACTAGAGACCTACTGCTCTTCGGGAACATTAGAAAGCCGATCGAGTAGCGTTTCTTAGAAACACTTTAGACAGGATTTGAGCCCCTTACGTAGTTCAGTTATTAGTTTCTCTTGTCTATGAATATATTTATACATAAACCAGAGAGACTAGATCTAATGGAGATAACTAAAAATTAGATGAATGTTTAGTATATATGGAAGTATAGATCAGGATTGCCAACTCCACTGGTTTGATCACTAGTCTACTGATTTTTCCGATTTTCTACTGAAATCATTTGGCGATTTCTGAGATTTTATTGTCGTCTTGTTTCATTACTTTTTTTGCTGAAAATAACTTTCTTATCTTTCAAATATGATCCGTATAACTGGAAAAAGCAATGGACATTATTTATCTACAGACTTTTCCTTTTGTTTTATTTTAATTTTTGGTCTGGCTTTATATAGCCACAATGATATTAGATGAAATTCAATAAGATAAACAGATAGCAACAGGCAAAACTGTAACAAATAAGAGAAATTTTCTGTCTTAGTCTCTGTTTTAACCGAAAAACTGCTGACTTATCCTGATTTTGAAGAAAAAAGTCTACTAGTTTTTAACATAAAACTACTGATTTCAAAGATTTCGAGTTGGCAACTCTGGTATACACAAATTGATATAATGTAATCCATTTGACGGACTCTGATATTACGCTAATGAAAAGGTATATCAAAAAATTAATTTCAGATGTGTCATCTACAACTCTTTCACTTTCTATTGGTCTTTGTCCTAAATCTCTACGATTAAGAATATCTGAGAACGAGTGGCTGACTCGAGAAACAAAACCATTACCAAAGAAAAAGACGACTAGAAAGCCAACTACCCTTCGGGAAGATTGGAAAGTCGACTAAGTGAAACGGTGAACTAATCAAAATAGAACACTCAGAAAATCATAACAGTTTGGCTTCGGTTTAGAAAGATAATGTTCAACACAAATTAGACATTCGGGAAGAGAACACATAAATATTTTTTCTCCAAAACTTGACATCCATTTGTGAAGTTTGGCTTTTCTTCATCAGCAGAAAATTTGAATTTTATTCAGCTAGATGTCGTATCTACATTGCTATACCAGCTGATTCATTATCGTGTCATACATTCTATTATACGTTTCATCATATAAAGCTCTATAGTATATATGCACAATGAAGTATATCACATAACGATTACTTATCTTGTAGGAAAAACGCCAGAGTTTTCTACAAAATATCCTCGTTTTGTAGTACTGCTTATCGGAAAACTAACCACAAATGTGTCATCTATGATCTATGCACTTTTCAATCATCTTCTTCGCAAATCTATACGATCAGAGATAACTTAGAACAAGTGACTGACTTGAACAAGAAAGTGTCCAGAAAGAAAGAACTAGAGACCAACTACCCTTCGGGAAGATTGGAAAGTCGACTGAGTGCCACGGTAAACAGACGAAATTAGTAGATGTAGAAACTCATCGAAAAAATCAAAATACTCGGAAGCGGTCAAAAACCAAAAAAAATGATAGTTTTTGAAAAACGTTGCCCTTTTTTCGCATTTTGGTTTCTTGAGCCGAGTCAACGTATTTTGGATTCAGCATCAAAAAGTGCATCGGAAACTGGTGTTTGAACATTTTTATACTTGAACGTCTCTCTGCGAAAAAATCCCGAAATACGTGTAGTTCAAAATCGAACCCGATTTTGCAAACCTAACATCGATTTTTCTAGTGGTCCTAGAGCAAAAATTTCATTTGATTCGTCTTTCGAAGGCGAATAAAAGTACACTTGCAGTTTGTTGAAATTTTTTTCCTTCGCTGCGAAAAAAATCTATTAGTAATAAGTACTCTCTATAAACGGCCAGATCTGCGAGTTTTCCTTCAAACCAAGTCTTATTAGGGCCAGGAACACTAAAAATGATGGTGAACTCAATGAGAACGCTCTCGAGATCTGCAGAGGATCTCCAGAGGGTTTTCTGGGGAACCTCAACTTGCCATTTTCCGGCGGCTTTGGTCGAACTTGTAGAACGTCTGCGGACCACATTTCCTAACGTAGAACCTTGAACTTGGTATCAAATGGAAGAGCGCGTCGAGTTCTATATATTTCGATGGAACAAAATTATGCTCTACCTTGGGATCTTGAGATAGGCATTTCTGTAAAATCCGGTTTTCTAGAAAACTTAATAATCTTATAAATTTATTTCAAAAGTTTTTCAACCATATCATTGGATAGCCCCTTCAATTCTCAACAAAATCAGATGCTAGCTAAGTTTATACGATCTCGTGTCAAAAAGTGCTATAGAAAATACGACACAGCTCGAAAACGGCAATAAAGCGAATCAGCATCTCATTTTATGGAGAACTGAATTCAATAAATATTTGCTCTAGGACCTCTAGAAATATCAGTGTTGGGTTTGTAAAATCGGGTTCGATTTTGAACCACTCGTATTTCAGAATTTTTTGGTATTATTAAAAAAACATCATTCGAGAGCGCAAGAGCTGTAGATAATACATCTGAAGGGTTTTTTCCATATACGTTTTAATTATTAAGCAATAAGTCTCAGAAGTTGAGCATATTTTCAATAACTTTTTATGCAATAATTAATTGTCATGTGACAGTTCATATACTTTCAGTATGAATGGTGTAGAGTGATTCATTAAGTAGTAACGTGCTACTTATCAGTCTCTATTCTGCGATGCACTTATAGTCCAAAAAACATTATTACCGATAGAACGCATTAAAATGTTACTATTAGAGCACTGCAGTGTTCTAACCGTATGTAAGGTATTCAAAAGGTTTCTAAAGTATTCTTCCAAAAGGTTTCCTCATCACCACAAACAAATTCCTCTCAACTAGCGTCGATATATAATCGTACTTCGCCTGTTTTGCAACATGAGGTGGCGCGTTGTCGCAAAAATCCAAATCTGGCCTGCATATCGTTCAGCCACCGTTAAGGTCAACGCGGGTTGGTCTCACCACTACAGATTCAGGAGTAACAACAAACAAAGCTTAGCGGAAATCATAGCTTAGGTAACCACTAGTTTATTGGTAGGAAATTGAATGCTGATATTTTTGCAGAAAAAGTTGACAATGAAATACAAAAAAAGAGCTTGGAAATTGTTCAGTTTTCTTTTCCTGAATTTTGGATGATGAACGATCCCTCATTAATCTTACAAAATCACAAAAGAAGTTTTTCTCTAAAACTTTGTTTTGCTTTGTAGATTGCTATAAGCTTTTTATTCTATAGCAGTCAATTATTTTTCACGTATGATAAGTGAAAGCTACTTACAATCTCGTTTTGAACCCAAAAGATGTACATTGCCAAGAAGAGGAAGACAGGGTGGTGATGGTATTGATTTGTAAGTAATTTTCCATAAAATATGTTTTCGGACTAAATTGAGCACGTAAACAGCAATTAAAATTATAAACGTAAAAAGGATAGATGAAAAGAAAACCATCATTGTATTCTAAATGACAAAATTTTTTATGAACTTAAGCTGAATGATCACTTCTCATGCCAGTATGTGTTTTACGTACATTTTTTACAATGTATAGCTACGATTTCTAGATGTTCAAACAAATTCTTTTTTCTGGATAGATTTGGCCTAAAATATTTTTCAGATTGAGACGGTGGAATCAGTTGAAAGAACTCTCGGGCTGTGTCAGAACAAAAAGCTTTCTCTGCAGAAAGAAATGTCTCAATAAAGTCTTTAATGGTTGTTTTCTAAGATCCCTGAGCATACAAAGCAATGATTTCAATCAATTTCAAAGTTTAAACTATATCAAAGCTGTCAAGTAAACAAATACAATCTCATTACGTTAGAGTTAAAACAGCAAGTAAACTTTGCTTAATCAACTATTTGTTATCATCGGTCTACAACTTTGTACTCACCGTGGAATGGATACAAATTACTTTGTACTATCTTCTGACTCACTCTTAATAAAAACAGTATTAAACATGATACGCTTTTTGCGTTCTTCTCTCTTTCTCTTTATGTATTTTTTCGATGTGCATGAAAAAACACAATAACAGCTCTAATAGTTAAGAGAAGGAATACGTTTACAAGTGAAATGATAAAAGTAACATTATAATTTTCTTATTTGTTGGATGGATGAGTGATTTAGTAATAATGTCGTGTTCTCTTTCAAATCATCATATTATAATGGTTTATAACGGATGGGCGCAAAATAAATGGCCGGCTTTTGTTTTCTGTCTTAAAAATATATGAACAAGACTGAGTGTCCCAACCGAAATACCATTACTATAAGAGCGACCATGGAAGGGAACAAACCCTTGTACAATTATTCACGCATCATGTATTCATTTTGCTTAACCATATATTAACCATCACATGATGACTAAGATGCACATGTGGCATTTTCCTTTTAGAAAAATGCAACCTGCAATTTCGTTTTTTTTGGCATTTTGCATCTTGAACTGCAAAAAAGAAAGTGGTTTTGCATTCTGAAATGTAAAAATAACTGACTTTGCATGCTAGAATCCAAAACGAGATGAATTCGCATCTCGAAGGCTGGTATTGGCATTTCTGAAAATAAAAGTTGCATTTTCTTGCACTTAGAAATTCAGATAGTTACAGTTTGTGCAGGTCCACATTTTATAGGTCTCTTAGATAGTTAGATATTCAGATTTTAATTATAAGACACACAGAAAACCGGACATACATATATCATATGTTCAGGCTGATGTCCATATAACAATAAATCAGTTTGGTAACCAAGGATGTTACTAATAGATAATAGTAGGTGCTTAGCACACGAGCTGTTTTTATGTCTCACGCACAATGAGATTTATCAAAATAGACCATGTTTATTGACCTGTGATCAATTAATAATAGTTTGGCCAAAACTCTGTTTCCGAAACATTTACAAATATTGTTTTTTTTAATTTAAGGCACAAAAAAATGTTAGCTATTAACATTCCATTGCCTTTTTTAATCCCTTCTAATGAATACGTTGTTTTTAAGTCGTCGTATTGTTGATGAAACTCAACGCTATGAGCACTCAAAACATGTACAGAAGGGTGATTCGATCAAAACCAAATTGAGCATCATATTTATCAGATCAATCTTCGATATCATTCATTAGTTTTAATACTATGTTTTTTTATCATTTGTTCTCGTTAGCTGTTTAGAGTTGTGTTTTGATTTGATGAGAAGATTTCATTGAACTAATAAATTCTGCTTTCGTATTACTTGATTGATTAATTCCAATGGCAGCGTTAAAGTCTTACATTTGACGCTGTTTATCATTCTTCCAACAGTTGTATTATTGTTAAATATTTTTCTACTAGTTTCTGACAACTACAGTTAACTGGAACTAGTGCACACCTAATATACAGGAGAAAACTCGGTGGCTCTAAAAACTATTTTCGTTCGACTTTATATACTCTACAATGCGTAGTAACAGTTTGTGTGTCCTCTACAATCGGCATGCACCAGTATCGATATTTTATTGAAATATCGAAGCAAAACAATACTGAATTTCGATAATATCGAAATCGATGTAGTCGATATCGACATTATCGTATTGGTGCATGCCTATCTGCACACCTCTGTACATTTATGTCGGTCCAAGCGCTTCACTTTAGTGGCTTTACAATACACTGACAGCTCCGGACCGATTATGCCCATATATCAGAATCAAAAGTCTATATCCTTAGGATGGCGATCACATGATATCGGAACACAGTTTATAAATCAACTTCAATACGTACTTCGGTATTTTTTAGTGTGTTTGAAAGGAAATGAATGCATCTTGCATTTGTTGTTGTTTTTTCTCGTGTAGTTGGTTTTTGAATTTTATGCTAATCTTGTATAGGGGTAGCATATTACTGTTACTGTTACCAATCATACAAATATTGCATATATTCCTATTACTGATAATAGTAATCTCCCATGTATTACTATTACTAGTAAGAGTAATACTGAACAGTACTTTTGTTCCCAGCAACCGTAAACTTTCAGTATTACCGTTGGTGAGAATAGGAATATTCATAAAATTAGTATTACTTTTCAGTAAAGTAATACGAGAAAGCTTGTTTTCAAAAGAAATTCAAAAAATTTTCTAACGTGTTTTTGGATGAATATTTCTACCAGAAAACTGTGAAAAGTCAGACGATCATCTTCTCTTTTTTGCCTGCTGAAACTTTTACTACCGTTTTCAAATTGAGGCCTGCGCCTGTTTTGTTGAATAACTCAAGAACGGAAAGAATGAGAGAATTCAGGTTTTCATCATCCAAAAGAAGAAACTCTGAGCCATCTTTTTATAATAGGCACTAGTTCAAAATCTTTTTCTGAAGTGGGTTTCCGAGGAGATCTTTGGAAAACCAGCTCATAGCTCAAAATCTTCAAGTACGCAGATTATTGGACTTGCAGTATTGGACTTCCGTAGAGCCCTAAGACTGGTAGTCGGTAACTTTAGGTAGCCTTGTAAAATCGCATAGAACTGACGTAATCGACCACGCTGAATCTGATGACAATGTTTATTTTTGGAGAAAACTCCAAAAACCAGATCAAACTCAAGTTTTATGTAAGTTGGAGTTGCCACGCTGTTTTCACCTGATATTAAAAAGTTCATAACTCACGAGGAATCATTCCCAAGTGACCAACTCAGTTTTTCTTCGTTCATATGTGGATCGATAGAGTATATTGAGATAGTCAAAAGACTAAACGGATGTGGATTCTTATTACTTTCTGCGAAAGTTATTGAATTTTTTTTGAGTTTTTCTTTCAGAGCTTTAAAAGGCTAAATATTTTAGTTTGATAAAGTTTTCTTTCCTTTCGTATGTATTCAAAATTTTTTCTTATACATAGCCTGATAGAAGAAAGCCTTCTCTTCAAAATGAGACGTCTTCCAGAATAGGACTGATTACCCTGATTTTTCTATAGAAAGATTTTTAGCAGTTGATTTTACAGATGTGCAGAGTAGTAACGGGTGGTGCAGAATAAATGGCGGTCTCAGTATTTTCTATTTTTCTCATATTTCTTTAAGACGCTCAGGTTAGTGTTCTTTATTAAAAGATGCGCCGCGAAATACTCTACAAAACCATACTTAAACTAATTTCAGAACTTCAATCAAGAAAACTGCAATTTATATGAAAAAAAATGAAAACTGCCTAAATTTGGTATCTTTTCGACTTGAATTTTTTCTTCTGCTACTATTTCCGTAAAAAAGTGTAGCAAAAGTAAGAACGCAGTTCTTTTTGTACTTTTGAATGTGCTCTTTCTTGTAGTCTGGAAACAAACTTTTTTAGAGCAGATAGTGTGCTAGAGAATGATCTTATAAAAATATGGCAAAAATTGACTGCTCCGCGTTTCCGATAATGTGCCCAACCAAGAAACTGAAAAAATGATTGAAGTTTCGATTTTGCGGTTAGGTAGAGAGGAGAGATCATTTCTGATGAAAACAAAACAAATCAAATCGAAAAAGCTTTTTGTTTGAGAGAGTTATGAGAGTTTTGCTGGAAGCGCCGATATACCCAGCATTAATGAAAAATACGTGACAACCGACACAAAAAGTATTGGTTTTCCATGGGTTTTGGTGTGAAAAAATGTGAAGTGTAGCTAAAAGGCTGAGTGAAGTCAGTACTATATAATGGCTGATTCAGGTTTTCTTACCTTTAAGACATAAACGCAAGAAATCGTTTTTAACTTTAGAAAGTTTATAATATCATTCATTCTATAATTATGTTTATCTGTTATTTTTCATATGGTCTGCAGTTATTAACTGTTTTATTATTTATATGGCGATGGAAACTATAAAAAAGGACTTTTCTATACTCAACCGCTGGACATTTATTCTTTTGCAAAATGACGAACAGATTACATAATTTTTCTAAAACTACTACAGCGAAAAGCCAAATATCTAATACACGTCTGAAGAAGTAAATCTTACTATAACATTACGCCAAATTCGATCAGATACCAGGATATGAACGTGAACGACTTTAAGCACTTGGAGCGGTTTCGTCGTGCGTTGTTTACAAGTCTTATTCTTATGTGGAATATCTTTTTTGCAATAATGTTAATGTATTGAATCTTAAAGTTTTTCTCTTCCATAATAATTTTATTTATATTTTGTGACATTTCAGCTTCGGAGAAGTCTTCATCAGACGTAGTTGAATGAACACGAAAATTACTTTTTTCTTTCATTTTCCATTCTATTCCTAAACATTGCCATCACATTCAGCGTGGACAATTACGTATGTTTCATCCGATTTCAGACTACGTGTAGTCACTGGATGTAGTCACAGGATTTGTTTATTTCATTATGGCGATTGACTGACTGATTAACAGTCGAATAAAAAGTTTCTACGATTTATTTTACTGATGATTACAAATGCACATTTCGGATCAAACATGCACTGATATTTTGTTTCGTGAAGGCGTCGGATCATCCCGGATTTGGAACTATCTTCATCCTCTTTGATGGTTTTTTCATGTTGACGAAATCTCGGTTTTGTTTCACCATTGTACATAGGACAATAATCGCAGAAATCCGATACACAATTTGCGTTGTTTTATTGCTGATGTTTGCGTTTAAAGACGAGTGGATTTTGTTTGCAATGCCGGAGAATAATAATCTGATTTTTAATTTTTCTAATTTTCGTTTCAATCGCTCAACACCGGGCAGATACGGTAATATAAAACAATATTTTAATTCATCTTTCTTGTTTCTGTGTAATTGTTGTGCTCTGGTGGATATTATCATTGTCTCATGAATATTGTAAATTGAAAAATTCAAATTTGAATTTTCTAGCAGCTCTGATAGTTCATTCAGATCATCTTGTTGTTCTTTGGTATCGTTTCCTTTCTGGATTATCCTTCGACACATACGTAATCAATGATAATGTATCATCTCTTATACGAAATGCCATTTTCTTTGAATGTTTTCACACAGTTAGCTGTTCCAGTTTCAACGTATCAAGTTTCAACAACTGTTGTTGCCCGCTTCAAGGATAACAGAGCTTAGAAATAAAACAGCTGATGATCCGGTAACATTCACTACTTATTCACAAAACGTTAAAATCCATGGCATCAAATCCACTGTCTGCTTGATTGCTGCGTCATAGTCATCAATTTTCCGATAAATCTCACTGATGTCAGTCTATGATTGAACTAATGATGAATGTTCAGCTAACACGTCGTTATTCATTTGATATTTCTTTCAGAATATTTTCTAGCTGTCGTATTTCATAAGTATTCACATAGCAACCACCAATGTTATACAAGAGTACTATCTATCCCAAAATACAAGACCCGTGGGCATTTTTTGAATAACTTTTGATAGGAATGAGATAGAGACCTGCGATTTTCGCTGTTAAATAGCCAAGACTTGAGTAGAACTTTCCACAAGCGGAAGCAACTTTTGAAAAAATTCCAGAGATCGGGTGAGGATCTTTGGAAAACCAGCTCCGTTCTCAGAAAACTAACATACAATGTTAGACATTTTTTTGCATGCGTAGATAGTTCGGACGTTACTCTATAAAATTATGCAAGTCCCGACTCTCTAGCTATCGTCGTTCGGGCAGGGCTCGCTTTTCCCCCGTGTCTATCTCCGAGCAGACATCTCTGTTTTTGTGTAGAAATGAATATAACTTCGCCAGAAACATTGTGTGAAAAACCGTTTTTTCGCCTGTTACTAGCAAAAATTAAAATCCTTATATCTCGATCAAATCTCATGCTGACTCAACGAAATTTTCAGCAAAGGCTTAAAAGGTGCCATATGTTGTTGACCACGCCGAAAAAGTGATCCAGCAGAACACCGATGCTCTGAGGTTTTTCAGAAGGTTTCTGGAAAACTTCAAGTCAATGCCCAGCTCACATTCACCGTTTTCGTCTTCGATTATGTTTTATGAGCTGTCCTGAGCGTTTTCTGAAAATTTCCTTGAGTCTGCATGAGATTTGATCGAGATATAAGGATTTTAATTTTTGCTAGTAACAGGCGAAAAAACGGGTTTTCACAACAACGCCTGTGGCGAAGTTATATTCATTTCTACACAAAAACAAATGTTGCTAATGAATGATATCGAAGATTGATCTGATAAATATGATGCTCAATTTGGTTTTGATCGAATCACCCTTCTGTACATGTTTTGAGTGCTCATAGCGTTGAGTTTCATCAACAATACGACGACTTAAAAACAACGTATTCATTAGAAGGGATTAAAAAAGGCAATTGAATAGCTAACATTTTTTTGTGCCTTAAATTAAAAAAACAATATTTGTAAATGTTTTGGAAACAGACTTTTGGCCCAACTATGATTAATTGATCACAGGTCAATAAACATGGTCTATTTTGATAAATCTCATTGTGCATGATGTGGAACTAACCAACTGGAAAGTAAAGTAGTGATTGTTTTCATTCCTTTCAAACTGATCTAATAGCCAAGGGATGCTGTTGCTACGGCCTTTGCAGGCCTCTGCATTTAATCAAATCACTAGTGTAATCTAAGTGTATTCTACGTACATTTAGAATGTTTCCACCTCAAATTTATTTTGAGTAGGTAATTGTTGATTGCGATTCTTTTGCAATGTATTTAATGCAAAGTGATGATCAAAGAATCACGTTTTTTCCTTAACCGTTAGATCAAACATGTAAATTAAGAAGCGTTAGTGTTCACTATCTTTCTTTAGAAGATTGTCGACGTATCAATTTGACACAATCCGAACTTCTTACTGTAACTTTTATATTAGTGCAAAAATACTTTTTGTACCATACTTTACACACATCGTCACATTAAATTTCGCATATGCAACACATGAAAAACGCAAGAAATTTACAAAAAAATTGGGCTAACAAAAACATTTTCTTCTCATAAAAAAAAACTGGACAACCTAAACTGGCCCTTACTACATGAACAGTACTTTCTCTGCAGCAACTCTCTTTAGAATTGATTATCCATTCAATGACAAGTTGCTCATGCTAAAGAATCAAATCAAATATTCAGTGATTGTACTTTTGTAATAAAAAGAAATGAAAACTATTTTATAGTTTAGTTAACAGTTGACGAATGACCATCGTGGAAACCAAATGATTCCCCAAATGTCAATGCAAATGAAGTTACCAGTTGTATGATTATTGATAAATTCATAACGAACAATTTCTTCAAAAGAATCTGGTGGATACATCATTATCTCAATTCGACTTCGAGCATGTTCAGCAGCATAGGGCAATTTAATTTCTCTCGATTCACTTACGGGAAATATGCCCGACTCTTTTGTATTCCAATATGATTTGTTCGTTTGATAATCGACGAAAAAACGTGCCAAATAACCGCCTTTATTTTTCACACGAACGGTTGTACCAACTGTAAAAAAAATGTAATAAATAAAAGAATTTCTCATATTATTTCTCATCTTACCTGTGTAGGCAAGCACAACGAATACGATAAATAAGAGACGAGTACACATTATCGTTGAACGAATAAATAAAAAAATTAATAAAATTTTCTGATTTTATATCTGTTAATTGAGGCGAAATGTATAGTCCGCCGATATTCTTTCTATAGAAGAAACAGAATATTTTTATAAGAAGGTCGACTGTCTCTCTAAGCGCACTATTTTGTAGTTATACTTGTTTTGATATCAGAAACAGACGAGAACGTTATTTGAACGAACATCGATGCACGTTCTGCATTACAGAGATAAAATTATCCATAGAAGTCTCACTTCCAGGATACATTATTTCCATATCCATCTGTAATATTGTTTCTATATTAGAGTGAATAATAGAACTGAAATTCAATACACTTACCGGACTCGATAGGTTTTTGTCGTAAGTGTTACTTGTTGTGGAGGACATGAAATATCCCCATAAAAAAAATGTCGAACTTTCACATGTTTACGGGTGACTCAGAAATTCAGTTCTATTTATAAAAAAATGATGTGTTTCTTGCCATGACGATATAGAAATAGCAAATAATTTGTTGTTGGTATGAGCACCTGGCATATCAATTTTCATCCAATCTGCATCCAATCTCGACATTAAAGTATCTTAATTTTTTGCATTTTTCTCAATTCGAGTTTTTTGGTGATTAGCTTCATGCGCAAATCTACGACCCTAGCGAAATTTCATCCGATTGAGGTGAAATTTTTACCATAGGCGTAAATTTTTTCTTTTTGAAAAATATTATTTCATCTCAGATTTATAAAGTTTTCAGTTTTAAAACCTCTGATTTTTAAGAATTTTGTTCGAACTCAACAAAAAAGCAATTTTTTTTCAAACAAAAACGTTCATATCTCAGATCGGGTGTTGAGTATCCGTGGTATAAATTTCAGCTCAATCGGCTGAAATTTCGATAGGACGATAAGTTTGCAGATAAGTTCTTTATTTTGTTGTGAAATTTGTGGAAAACCAATAGACTCTGATTGCACGGCGCAGTTTTGGCCTATAATCTTCGTTTGTAATGTTCAACATTTGGTGAAAATTGAAGCTTCCTACGTTTTAAACTGACAAATCGTCTCGAAAAGAGGATAGATAGCCCTAAATATCAATAAAATCAAATTTTTTCGACTTTAATTTGATTTTGAACTATTTTTAAGGTTATATTTGAAATCAATACAACAAACTGCATCAGCTGATGTAGAATATAATCAGATTACAGATAAACGTTTTTTCAATCGTCTGATCGGACTGGTGCATTTAGTCGGCTAGTTCCGCAGTACAGTATACATCTGAACTGAACGTGTTGAGAAAAAGTAGACTTTTGAAAATCTGTTTGAAATGCGTCAAACTTTTTTCTTCCTCCAAAGAATGGATAAAAAAACAATCAAGATCTTTCATTTCGTTTAGTGTATTTCGCATGATCCGAACGAACAGTTTGACTATAAAAATGAATGTTTGTTAGTCAATATTCTTTTAAATTGATTTTAATTATAAAAATCAAAAATTATTTAAGAATATTTAAATCTTTTTAAGTCTTATCATTTACCATCAACCAAAATCGAGCAGCACGATAATTTAAAAAATGATATATTAATAACAACACGTCTTTATATTCTTTTATTAATCATTTCATTTGTCATTGTTGTTTACTATTCATCATTAATATCAATAACACAAACAATTATTGTTAAGGAACCATCAATTATTGCATACACACAAATTTATAAAAAATAGTCACAAACATTGTCATGTCCATGTGATAGGATTTCTGTTTCATATAAAAATTTTATTCTGATTTATTATATTAATATTTTTACTATTGGTGATATATTCCTGTAGTGGATTTTCGTCGAACTGGTGGTTCATCATTTCGAATGTTAAAATATATATGCCAGACAATTAATTTAACAATTTTTAATTCTTTATCTATATTTTATTCAACACAATATATAACATCAAACCTTACATCAAACGATTTATTTAATAAACAAATAAATGCAGAAATTAATTAATTTATATTAACAATAATAGCAACATATGAACGATCATTACAATTGATACGTAACACAACAGATAGTAATAGTTTAATGTCTGGATTACAAACAAGTAGTGTGTTTGAAAAAGATTTACTCCTCGATCTCTTTTTGAAATTTTGGCATTTCTGCAGATGAATTTTCTGCATTGGTATTTCGAGAAATTTTGACAACAGCAGAAATTCATTTGGAATTTCTGATTTTTGCAGTAGGACTTTAGAAAATTTCGACAGCTGTCCAAATTCCGAATATTTTCGGAGTTTTGACGATTATTTTGCCAAAAAATAATAGGATCATGGGAATTTCGACAAAAATTTGAATTAAGCCGTTAATGACCTCTAGTGATTCGTGTTGTATATATTGTTGTCGAAGGACGCAGTTCAACAATTTTCTACTTTAATGAAGTGATGGAAAAAATGCAATTGTATTTATAAAGTTGTTGTGAAACAAGAGAAATGGTTTCTGCGTTTATGTATGTTCTTGTTCTCTTCTGTAGTCAAAAGTAAAAATTATGGAAAATTCGAAATGAATGTTTTGTTATTGTACGACGGCACTGTCTGTAACAGTAGTTTTTGTTGAATGATTGCTAAATTTACTCATTTGTCGAAATTTCTATGAAATTTCTAAATCTGCAGAAATTCCGTTGCAATTTTGTCATGTGGAAATTCCAAAAGAAGATCGACGAGTTTGCCTTGCGAAACAACATCCAAATTACGAACAAACTACGGATATATTTATATCACCAATGGAATATTTTTTTTAAGTCCAACATCTCATCGTCTGTATGTTCATTCACACAAGAATGTGTTAGAGACTATTGATAAGCGATGTCTAAATAGAAGAAGAAGAGGACAAAGGTAGGGAAACGGGATAGAAAACTTTTTTCGGATGTTCTGACAAACTTTTTTTGAAAAAATATGTTACTGTTTTTCCGAATTTTTTGAGAGGTTTTCAGAGACATTTCGCGAGCGCGTCAACGGTCATCATGAGATGACGAAAAAGAAATCTTTTCTAAAAATGTTTTGTGTTGAATATGTCACTAATAAAACTGAAATTTGAACTTTATCCAACTTTTAATTATCCAGGAAAACCTTTTCGAAACAATTAGTTCTCTCAGATTTTCCATCAGATGATCATAAAAATCTAAACAAATTTAAAATGGACTTTGATTCTCGAAATGAAAATCATTATCGTAAAATCGACTTTTTACATGCTGAGCAGAATCGATCTAAAGTTTTTTTCTGAATAGCTTATTGAATGAATATACTGGCGGCAACGCATCTGTTTATTCAAATCACTTTTCGCATTTTGGCACGAATAGTGGCGTCATTTTAAGCGCGCAAGATTGTTGTTTTTAGTTAAAAAAAATATTAACACTTATCACATTCGGAATCAGGATCAAAAACTGAGTCGATTGATGTGTATTTTTATCCTATCTGACTAGCTCCATTTTTCCGAATTTTCATGTTGAAAAAACACCTACCGGGATTTTCATCAAAAACTGAAAATCAACTAAAATTTTCTAAATACATATCAATCGACTCAGTTTTGATCCTGATTCCGAATATGATTTTTTTATTGCTCGGAAGTTGAGTTATCAGGGAGAAAATTGAGAACTACGGGCAGAATTCCAACTTTTTCGCCTCTTATTTAGAAAAAATGAATTTTCTCAGCAACGAAACAAAATTTTAAAAGAAATGGGTCGCACTTTTAAAGCTGAAGTTTTAGCACATCTAATAATATCCAAACGAGGGCTGTAATCCTTGATACAAAAAATAGTATAAAATCTCAAAATCGGTATTTTTGACCAAAATTGCCATTTTTTGACAGGGAGGGGAGCCTTAAAAGATCCTCATGGGTAATTTAAAAGAACATATTTTTAGCAGAAGAAAATAGATTTCACACTTAATCAGAGTTTGAGGAAAACCTATATGGAGGTCTACAAACTATGATGCTATCCAGCACTAATTCATAGTTCTGGTTTGTGTAGAGCGATATTGTCGCTATATTGGCAGCTTTAGATAAAATTTAAGTGAAATATTCTGTGGGCTTCCCAGGTCAAAAAATCAGATAAGATCTTACAGACAATACGATTTCATAAGATTCTTCGTCTAGGATCTTATAAAATCGTGAAGTAAGAATCTTGTAAGATTCCTGGTATAAGATAGAAGCAAAAATCTTATAAGATTCTTGCACTAAGAATCTTACAAAAACATACGATACGAATCGTACAAGACTTTGTAAAATCTTGTAAGATAATATTGTAAGATTTTTCTTAAAAATTTGAAAAATAAAATATTTCATGTTAAAATTTTTTCCATGTTAAATCGTATTTTAATGAATTTTAAAAATTAAAATACGTTGAACTTAAGTTTATGTGTTTTACACCAATTTTCGACTGCAAAGAATATGTGCCGCTAGTAAAAACGTGATTGATCAATTGAGTTCGATTATTTAGAGTTGTTTTAGGCAGAAAAAAAAGTAATCAAAATCCAAAAAAAAGTTAAAGGGAGTGAAGAAAGGAATATAATACTCGATTTTCTTATCTTCATTTCGCCCGTTTTTGTCTCTATGCCGTTCAGCTGAATAGAAACAGGGTACTCGAAAGAGACTTGAGCTAACGAGGAATGTAGTCCAACTGATTAAAAGCTTTTTGGCTGATATTTTGCTGATAGATTTTCATTTTTTCATGCCGTTATACTACCAGTTTGCGCTCTCAAAACGAAAAAAAATGTTTTTCGTTATCAACCCTGTTGCCGTGCACTGATATGTTAGTAAAATTGTTTGCTATTATCGCTAGAATATTTTATTATTGTCTTTCGTATTTATTCTATCCGCGTTCTCTTTTTCGAACCTGCTGTATAGAATCAGCTGAGTAGATGTGTGTGTATAGACTATATACACGTGTATTCTATACAACAATGTTCTTAAAAAAAGAAAGAAGGACCGTTTGTATATATATAGAGCGAGACCAGAACGTTTCTCTTTATAAACCACATGCGATTTCATCTTTTCTTAAGGCCTCACCCCCCCTCAAAAAAGTCGATTTTCGTCAAAAAAATGATTTTTGAGATAGGTATACGGGCATGTCGCCTGAGATATCTACTTCACAAATATATAAAAATATTATTGAATCTCGACAATTTTTAAGGAGCTTTTTTAGAAAGTTCTGCAGCTCTCTTTCTACACGAGATACCCGAATTAGCACTTTCTGAATAACTCAAAGATGATAAAAGATAGAGATTTGCAGTCTTCAGCAATCGAAAGAAAATAGTTTTGGCTATGTTTTCTTAAGCAAAATCTTTTTCGAAAAATATTCAGAAGATTGGTTTTCTAGGAGGTCTTTAGAAAACCAGTTTGGATCTCCGGATATTGAGATAGCAATCTATCAGTTTTTTTCCATAGACATATAATCCAGCGTGTCCTCTGCAAAATGGGACCCAAGCGGACTCTTAATTTTCCCTGGTTCAGGTGTGGCATCGTGGTTAGACGAAGAAAAATTTGAAAATGGCTGGAATGAAATCCAATCTCTGGCAGAATTCGATGTTAGTAGGTATAACAAGTGGATGAAGAAGTTTCATATCAACTTCATACTAGAAATTTCTCCCTTATTCGTGTTCCCTTTTACAGTGAACTTCATGTGTTCGAATCTCTATTCGTACAAAAATGATTTTGTGTTTTTCGATAGTTTTAGTTTAGAATACTATAAGGAAATATTTGCCCGGTTGTATTCTGGCAGAATAAAGCTTATTTCAATGAACTTTCACAATTTAAGTAAATAACTTCAGATTTTGATCATTTAGATATCACAAAGGTATTCAAACAGCACGTGCTGTGTCTTATGCTTTAACAATGGGAAAACAAGTTGCTAAAATGAACGCAGAACGTCAGATGATTATTGATTAAAGTAATTATGTACCGGAAGACGATAATATTGTTATTTTACGAACATCTTTAGTGTTAATCATGTATTTACGCATTTACTCAAAGTTGTTGGTAGAAGTATGCTGGAAAAAGCGACATTGATATCGATGGATAGAGTGATTGAAGGTGTTTGATATGTTGAACGTCGATATTTTGGCGGTGAAGTGGATTTGGAAGGGTCGAATGCAATTGGAATAAGAACGCGACTCGACGGAACACCCGTTTATTATTTAGATGAAGGAATAATTGCAGATATCAAAGAGAAGCATGATTTACGTATGTTAAGAAGTTTTATAAAACAGGAAGTAAAAGAAGGAGAGAGAAGTATATATGTTGTAGCCAAAATTAAAATTCAGCCAAATTTTAATTTTGGCTACAACATATACAAAAGAAAAGAGTGTGAGAGAAAGTAAATTTAGTTTAATAAAGAAAAAGGATATACGAATTAGAATTCATCCTCCTTGATCTATCGAATGAGATGTAAATCATCATTAGAAGACCGATGACCCAGAAAAAATTATGTAAATTATTTTTAGTATGTTCTTGTTCTTCCTGCTATTCTTGTGCCCCATAAGAACCATTCTTGGTCTTTCTGGTTTTCTCCCAGTGTATCTCTCTTTCTATCGGTAACAGCGTCTCTTATGTAAGCGAAGTGAAATTTTCTTTTTGTTTGTTACTGGTTCCTGGCTATGTAACACCTTTAGTCAAAATACATTCAGTTCAATGACGGTAGGCGATATTGACCCGGTTATGATACATGAAAAAGTGAGGTTTACTTGTCTGAAAGAATGTTTGGTATGTTGCATATTTATTGTGCTATGAAATATACAATACTTTAGTAGTTTGGCAACACGCCTGAGGATAGAATTGATAATGTTTTGTCGAACTAGTCCGTGGAACGATCCGATCTTAGCACTGCATATGAAATAAGAAATAATAGGGAGCTTTTCATTGATCCTTCTCTCTTTGTATAGTGACGTAAACAACGAGTCTATAGACTAATGTTAAAAAGAAATAAACGACTAATAATAAAAATCAATTAAATATTTTTCCACCTTATTTAAATATCAGTCCGTTCAATATTTTTCTTTATTCAAATATTTTTTCTTTATTTTAAAATATTAAATATTTTTCTGTCTTTGATATTGAACATTTTGACTGTGATCAAAGAAGGGGGCCCAGTTTTCTTTGATTTTGATCAGGTTTTGTAGAGAAAACGATTTTACACATTTTGAAGTGCATATGTACTATTATAAGCTTATAGAGACGTTTTAAATTAACTCAGTATTGTGAGTCACTTATATAAAATGATGACACATCCAGGATGTTCAGGTTTGAGTCGAAATTCATCGACCGGCACGATTGTTAGTGGTCGAACCTTCGTCAATTCGGCATATCAGCAGAATTTGACAATTCGACCCTCAATCGATCATTTGTCGTCACGTTCAGTGCAACTAACGCACTTCCATCCGCGGCAACTGCCCGATAATGCACCAGGACGTCCGACAAAGAGTACTCTACGCCGCCAGAGACGTAAGCGGCTAGAGATGGTTTACGCATGTGGAAGAGGCAGTCGTAAAAGACAGCCCGCCCTACAATCTTCAATTCGGTTGGCGACCACAACTGGACCTCGACCTCGTTGAAGACTGAAATGTCTTCTCTTGTTGTGTCGTTTTCCTTTTTGTTGTGTCTGTTTTCTGTTCTCTGTTTTTTTATTTTTTTATTTTTATTTGTACTTGTGGGTTTTTTTATATTTTTTATATATTTTTTTATTTTTATGTGTTTGTTTGTATTTTCTAGATACCCTGAAGAGCTTTTATTTTAATAAAAGTGAAACCGGTCGGTAATTTATCTTCAATCAAACAAACCTCCAAATTCTCTAGTGTGAGTTGTCAGTGCTTTTCTAGCCGGTCTCTCGTTTGAAAACTGGGTGTGTTGAGCATACGACCACCCAATCTTTCTCTTATCGAGGGGGCCCAGTTTTCTTTGATTTTGATCAGGTTTTGTAGAGAAAACGATTTTACACATTTTGAAGTGCATATGTACTATTATAAGCTTATAGAGACGTTTTAAATTAACTCTTCCGAGGAGGTACATAAAGCATATCGGTACTTAACAAAAACGATTCAGTTCAAAATCTAGTATGAAGTTACGGTAAAGCCTGATACAGAACAGCAGCCAATGAAAAAAACTGAACAAACTAGTGTATGGACTATAGTCAGACACTATATATTTAAGGAGGAATAGTTTATTTTCGAACATCCCCTATTTAGTGATCATCCTTCAGCGATCATTTTTCTCCATTTTAGCTCATAAATAAGAGAGGATGCAACTAGTCGGTAGTATAGAAAAATAGCTCTTGAAAAGCTCTACAACATCTGTTAATAGGAAACTTAATGAAGCCTGGCAGCAGGTTTTATGAGTTTAATACTAGACTTTTCCGCGATTACAAGACGCGATTTTAGCGATCGCTATAAAGTCTTGCTAGTGATATTTGACTCCCTTACATATAGTGATTCTCGCGACAAGATCTTGCTAGTTATATAAGAAAATCACGTTCTCCCGGCGCGAGTCTTGTCTTGTTTTTAAAATCGTGACACGAGTGAGCAAGAGTCGCGATCAGTCGTGTCGCGAATCCTATTATGCAGACCGATTCTACAAGAATCCTGCATAGTCGCGATAAGTTTTTGCAAGAGTCGTACATAGTCGCGCCAGATTTTTTCTGCTTCTAGTTTCACCCTATTTTTTGCTCGTTTGACAGTTTTCCAGAAACACAAATTTCCTACAGTATTTTAAGAGGAGTGCGTCCATCTCATCTCTGCTTTCAAGATTTGAATCTCTCCAAAGACATCTCCTTAGATTTATCCGATCGAAAATAGCTTCTTCAGATTATTCCAGACCTCAATGTATACAGTGTTGTTTTCTTGCCTGGAGTATCATCCAGCCTTGTGATAAAGCTGCCTAGAGTATACCAGTTTTTCTTCTTTGCTACATGTTCATTCAACATTATTTACGATAAATCACAGCAAAATCACTAAACAGAAAGATAAACATCAGAAAAAGAGTTTAGACAAATGGAGTCCATCAAACGTAGAAAAAAAATAAACATTTATAACAACATGGACAAATAAAATGGCACTTCCGCTCTTCATCATCATATTGACTACTTTTTTAAGGGAATATGGTTGTGTGGATAGGAGAAAGAAAAACAAACAAAAACTGTTCATCTCAAACTTTGAGATGAACAGTTTTTGTTTGTAGAGTATTTAAGCTATTCTATATCCTGTTCATAGGAGATCTCGAAACAAATTTTAGAGAACCCGCAGGTTTTCCAAAAGGGTTTTTGGAAAACCTATTAACAAAAAGCTTTTCGATTTTATCGATCTTATAATCACGTTTAGCGGAGAACATTAACCGTATCCTGAGATTTTCAGCTTGTTCTGATGTTTTGTGAGTGAATAGTGAATTTTTTTATATTCGCTGAAAATAGGCTGGAAACCCTAGTTTTCGTAAAACTGGCTTTTCGGTATATTTTTAGAACTTTTTCTAAAAATATATGTTCCCACAAAACTGAGCATGGTCGATTACCCATAGTCCCTCAGTATTTAAGGCTACCAATAGTCACCGGACGCCAGTCCTGGGACTCGCAGGAAATCCGATACAGCGCCCGAACCGTGGAAAATCAAGATCTCGCTTTATCCCGATTTTGGAGAGGACACCCCGGGCTATCAGCCGATGAGAAAAAAGCGATACAATCCTATTGGAAAATCTTTAGCGACGGCCTAGTTTTCCAAAGATCTCCTAGAAAACCTGTTTCAAAAAACTCTTCTGAAAATAATGTTGGTTATGAAAACATTCCTCCAAGTCTCCTCTTTCGAATAGCGGAAAGCGCAGGTCTCTGTCTTACTCCTATCAAAAGTTATTCGCAATCAAAGTCGTTCAGTGACTTATGGGACACCCTGTAGGTTTTCACTCGGTTGTTGCATTTTGTTCTGAAAACTAACATTGCCACGAGATTCAGCATAGTCGATAACCTATGTTTTCATTCATTTTTGATAGTCCCATACCTAACGGTAAAGGAGTGTTAAGGCTTCAGGGAAAACGTTCATAGCTCCCGAATCATAGATTTCCAAGATGTCGCTTGGATTCAGTATTGTAGAGGACACTTCAGGCCATATATCTATGAGAGAAAGCTCATACGTTTATATGTCAGTTTTCAGAGAACCGAACTGGTTTTCCAAAGATCCTCTGGAAAACCGGCTTCGAAAACTTTTCCGAAATCCGTTTTTGCTATGGAAAGATAGCTTCAAGTCTCAGATCTCAATTCTTCAAGTCGCTCTTAATGCAACTCAAGAAACTTTCTTCCGAAAAGCATGACGTCGTATACAGAGCACCATGTTGTCGAACTTGAGTTGGAAAGTATTGCAGGAGGTGTATACTATATAGTTCAAATTCTTCACTATAGATTGATGGAAGTTCCTACCGATACTGTTGTAAGAATTCTTCTGTATCGTCAACATGAGCAACATGTTCAAAAAAGTGTAAAATTCAGCACAAAGAGAAAGAAGAAAACAGATAGAACGAAATATTCGGTTAGAAATACATTCACTAACCTTATGGATAAAAAAATAACACGAAATGATTTGTAATTGCAGGAGGTAAGAACTTCACGACTAACGGCATACATACATAAAGAAGGAAAAGTTTTAGTTCTTTCAATTTATACCAGTCGATTTTGGAAAATGAGCTCAAAGTCACTTTCGTATCATGTGGATACAATACTTGTAACACAAAGTTACTCATGTCTGTTGCTGTTGTTGTTGATGCATGACTTAGCCACTTCTCTAACAAATGACCTATGTGACCTGAATTACCGCACACTGCATGCATATAATCGAAGGTACAATTCTCCTTTACGTTACTATAAATTCTTAGTAATGGGGTCAATCTTTTTAGACCATCAACAGTTGTGATATATTCTGATTTTGATTTGGTCTCTGCCAGTTGTGCTGCGTTCACAAAATCTTGTTGTGTTCTATCAAAATGAATGTCAGTAAAAGGATAATAAACTACTGACGAATTGTATGTTACACCCTCTTGTTTACAATGAGTACACGCATACCGATCATTATGCTGGGTTATTTTCCATTTGAACGATCGACATGGTAAATCATTTTTGTCAGTTTGACAACGAAATTTAAAAAAGAAAGTCTTATTTTTTTCATTCTTTAGAGTCAATCCATTTTGCATCAATGAACAAATGTCGTCAAGCAAACGTCCGTATATCATTTCAACTGAAGGCTGTTTCTTTCCAAAGTATAAACTTCACAGGATTTTATTTTTTTGCGATGTCTCTCAATGGCGGAGGTATTTCCAAGATAGTGCCCGTAGTTGTATAACAATGACGATGTTTTGTTGATAGCATATCAACTCCGTCTGAATGGATCTGTAGTGTTATATAGTGATTATTACGATTAGTATCACGTTTGTATATATCTCCATTGATGATATCGTTTGGTAATAACTCCTTTGCTCTCGATGAACAGGTGGTAATTAGATGCAGATTTCTTTTTACTACATGAGAAATAGCATTATCAATATCATCAACACATAACTCTATAATTCCATCTTCCTTATGTTCTTTTTTCGGCAAAGCACAAGTATCATTACATTTATGCGTGGTAAGATCAAGTTCGTCGGTACAGTTATTGCAGAATGTCTTGTAGAAGAATGGTTGTTTAAGTCTCTTACAAATATGTCGCTGATTCAAACTGGTGTTAGATGGTAGGAGATGAAATAGTAAATTAATCAATTTTTTTTGTTGTGTATGATTAAGTTTACATTCTACTATATACTTGTGAATTTCTTCAATTGCCTCTGAAACTGTAACTTTTGTATTCTCATATAGATAACTGTCTGTTGTCATTTCAGTTGAGTCGTCTTCGTCATCTGTGAACTCAACAGGCGAAGGCGCAAGTGAGGAATTGGAAAATAAGCAGTGTTTTCGTTACAAATTTTTTGGGGAGAAGGGGGGCAAGTTTAGGGACTTACTTCCAATTTTTGGAACAAAATTCTATTTGTGAAAAAAATGCTCATAAAAAAAAAGTGATGAACAAAAATTTCTCTCGTTTAACGTTTTTTCTAACTTCTTTTTACTTTTGTCTAACTATCATCAACAAATATTTTAGCATTTGGAGATTCTGCTCTTGTAGGATTAGCATAAAAATTAGAAACAATATAGTCAGTATCGTCATTGTTCATATACGGTTTCATTATTAAATTCATGTTTATGATCTCATTATTAACATACTTTTAGCTTACTTTATCAGAACATTACTTAATCCGTTTTATTTACTCCGGGCCTTTGATCTACTTCAAGATTGCTTACTCGGAGACCACTTACTCCGAGATTCAAACTAGGGGAGGAATTGGCCGCCGCCCCCCCCGCCCCGCCACC